AAATTAATTAGAGAATGGTTTTCCGAACAAAACCAAGATTCATAAACACAAAACAAGAAATCTTATACTCATAAATAGGAACATGAACAGAGATCGAAAGTGTTCTTTATAGAATTCATATTGTTGTCAAACTGGACGGAACAACAATGACACAAAGAAACCATTAATATCTGGAGTGAGAGCAACTCTTTCTATACTTTGAATAACTTCTGCACCAACCTGGCATGAGGTTCGTCGGTATCTCTCATTATTCAGTAGAAATTTCAACCCTCAATTCGAGTAGACTCAACTCACAAAATCTAAATATTGTCAAAGTATTAATTGGTAATTTGTTCGTGGCCGAAATAAACATGAGGTATTTACCACTAAACTTCCAAAAAAAACCATTTGCCTTACTGAGTTTCAAACATGATTTGTATGCAGTCTGCAGACGATTAAAGAAGCCAGGTCATTTAATTTCACATTCAGATGTATTGATGATTTTCTTTCCATTAACAATTCAAACTTTTTTGATTGGGTTCCATTAATATATCTATCAGAACCAGAATTTAACGAAACAACAGACACGGCTTCCTCTGCCTCAATTTTAGACTTATACTTCGAATTTGACATACAAGGTCATCTCAGTACCAGAATCAATGACAAACGAGACCATTTATTTTAATTTTGAAGTTATTTATTTCCAGCACCTTAGTAGCAATATACCAACTTCACCGACATATGGGATATACATTTCCAAATGTATTCGGTATTCAGGTGATTGCAGCTGCTACTCAGATATTGTAAAACGTCACCAGTGTCAAATTGGAAAGTTGATGAACCAGGTTTATGTCAAAGAACGTCTCGTCCTTTTTCTAAAAAAGTTCATCGGAAGGTACCAAGACCTTGTTGATAAATATTCCATATCAACTTCACAAATAATACACGATGGTCTTGAAGTATAGATGCTGTGTACTGACGATGTTTATCATCTTTATAACGTGCTATATTTTTTTTTATTTGTCTTTTTGAATATTACTTTAGCTGTTTAGCCTATTTTTGGTGATATCCATTTGACGTGACTCGGTCCTTATGCATCCTGTCATTGTGTTATTGTGCTATGGTAACTGTTTATATTCGTATGTGATTTGTCTAAATGCCTTTTTGTGTTTCTTTGTTACATATTTGTTTGTTTTTATAGTGATTAAGATTATAACACAATGTTGACTGTTGTATCCTTTTTTGACATTGGAAGTATGATATTACACTCACACATGCTACACTTCTCCTCTATAGTGAGATTTTAATTATTGTTGAAATCCGTGCAGTGACCTAAAGTTGCTGATCATTTGACTCGGTTGAATGATTTCTCAATGACAATCATACCACATCTCCTTATTTTATATGGTTCATACAAATTAGAATTATTCAGGAAAAAAAACAAAGACCGGTCAGAAATTTGTTGATGATTTATGACGGAATTTGTACACGTTGACCTCCAAAACTACATCACAAGGAAATAATTCTCGTTCAGTTTAAGTCAATAGAAAAGTATAAATCACAATAATATTTAATATATAAATTAAGCCAAAAGTACTGTATCAATGTTTAAATTTTGTCAGCAATTTTGTGTACATAAACTGTTGCATTATCGAAACAATAAGGTTTCTACCCTCGGCATACATTACCGTATTTGGTACAACTTTAGGTTTTTAATGCTCTTCAACTCCGTATTAGATTTGGCCTTTCAACTGTAGTATAAATAAAGGCAACAGTAGTATACCGCTGTTCAAAAGTCATGAATCGAGTGAGAGAAAACAAATCCGGGTTACAAACTAGAACCGAAGGAAACACATCAACTATAAGAGGAAAACAACGGAACAACAGAAACACTGGAGTGCAACAAAAGCAAACGCCAATGCAACACACATAGAAACAAACTATTTAATAACAACTGCCATACTCTTGACTTAGTACAAGACATTTTACGAAAAAATGATGGGTTAAACCTGGTTTTATGACTAGCCAAACCTCCCGCTTATATGACAATCTTAAAAAATATCGTTAAAATGACATCACTACGTGATAGAAATACAGTACAAACAAACGCAAGAAAAAGTATAAGCTCGTCAGGGTACCAAATTATAGGCATGGTGTTGTTAATGTGTTTTTATATATACTGGGCGGCGTATTCAGCTTTGTTTTACTGACTTCTAGCAATGCCGAAGATATATCATGTCTGTCTGATGTAACACTTTGGCCAAATAACGAAATAAATTATTCACCAAAATAAAATGTATCCTCAATCTACGAAAATCGGTATCAATAAAAACAAATGTATCTACAAAATGTGAAAGTAATCATCGAGGTCATCGATGAAGTACTTCTAATTGAAGGGAAACTATTTGATAATGCCGTTTTCTAATAAAATGAATTTGAAAATCAAAGAGTATCATAAATATATCAAAGAACATCTCAGATATACATACAGGGACGTTTTGTATTTTACGGCATTGGTCTTGCTCATTGTTGAAGGCAGTACGATCAAATATTATTGTTAACATCTTTGTTATGTAGTTTAGTTGACTTATCTGCAAACATTCCATTTCACATTATTTCTTTACCAGACTTTTTTTTATCAAATGTCTGTTTTAATATTTCTGATACTAGTATTTAGTGTATAGTGTATAATTATGTCTGTTGGTTAGGTATATCTGATCTTGACCTTATTAGCAATCTTTTTTAGAGACCGTTACGTTTTCATGGTCAAACCTGTATGCGTCCAGAGCAATTAAAATCCACCCCGGCTTTTGGTGGGGTTCGAATTGCTCAGTCTGTAGTTTCCTATGTTGTGTTTTGTGTATCGTTGTTTGTCGTTTTGTCGTTTTTCGTTTTGTTGTCATGGCATTGTCAATTTCGTTTCGACTTATGAATTTGAATATCCCTTTGGTATCTTTCGCCTCTCTTTCTCGGATATATAAAGCAATATGTTAACTATATTATGTGAATGGAATAATTGTAAGGTGTTTGGCAGGGTTCCTCTTACCTCATTTATATATATTATTGATAATGTTTATTAATTATACTCAAAGAAAATAAAATGAAGCTTAAGACTATCAAAATTACTTCCATCATGATCAGGAAAGCAGACGGAACATTTGAGCATGTGTGCTCTTACCTGTTAATATCAGTAACAAAAAACATTGGGATTGGTGTTTTATATGTGCAGTTTAAAGAAAATCTCACGATCTTTTGAATTAACTAAATGGCATTCAAGTCCATGAAATCAAAACTAGCATTCATCAATTTTATTTATTTAAGCTAACAACATCCATACAGAAGGAATATAACACTAAAAAATGTTTCAAATAGTAACACAATATATGATACATTCATTTTTTAGTTGACAATCAGTTGTTTCTTTACTTTTTTCAATTGACCATACCTTTTTTGGAAATCATTGTCAAATCACAAAATGGTGTATTTGAATCTTATTCTTAAGGTTCATGGGGGTCTTAATTAAAATCCATAAACATTTTTGATAATTTGTCAAAATGTAGTTTATATTATGCTTGTTTCCAAATATGATAAAAAAGTATTGGTCACAGGGCTTTTTTTCACGCTACAGGTTGTGCAAAATTGTCAGATTTTGTATAAATTGTGCATGAAAAAAAAATTATTTTGTGATGAAAAGAAAATTTCTACATAGAATTTTAAAAATAAAATATGAGAAGATAGCTCTAATCATATGCTTTCAGATAAGAAAAAGGAAAAAATGGTGTCACCGGACTCGTTTTCTTGCTACATAATAACAAAAATGGTAAATTCATAACACATTCTATTATCAAAATTACTTTTTCTGAGTTCTCCCCTTAGGTGGCAAAGTTGAAAAAAAAATGAATCATCCAAAAATATTCTGTTTTTTGGTAAAATACAGCCGTAAAATATGATATAACACGTAATCTTCTATATTAACATTAAGTACACATAAATTACAAACTACTAAATTTGCACATTTCATTAAAGATCTAGACCGATTGTTATCTGCTATTTCAAAATCTAAGATGCAAGAAAACACCCCAGCTACTTTAACACTATTTAAAAAATAAATTATCTTTAACTTCATATTCATAAGGAAAATCGACAAAGTGCAAAAATCATCATTATTTACAATTTCTCAGTCAAGTATTTATATATGGACAACAGTATTAGCTAAAATAATTAAGCATATGATATTTATGCAATCATGCTTATATGATTCAAATCTTTTTGATTAAGGCTTTTGGTCAAATACTATGTTACCAAACAGAGCAATCAACGTCATTTATGTAAATCAATTTATGCTTAGCAGGTCTGTCTAAGAGTGGCATGACACATGATTGACCTAAATAAAATAATCTATATTAAATGATCTTTATTTTATACACAGATAAAAACATTAGAATAATTCAATGCCTTTTTTAAAAATACCATAAAACATAAAAGTCATGAAGCTTATTTCAAGCTACAGGTTGTGCAAATTTATTGGTATATGTAATGAAAAACACGTTTGTGTAACTAGAAAAAACTATATATGACTCTCTCTTGCTGTATTTAAGACCCATTGGTGGTCTTTGGCTGTTTTTTGCTTTTTGGTCGAGTTGTTGTCTCTTTGACACATTCCCAATTTTTATTCTCAGTTTTATAATAAAACTTACAATTATATGTATTTCAATGTGCGTCCAAATAAAGCCTTGACTAATATCTATTTTGTCCAAGCAATCATACTTCAGCCTGAGACATTATGGTTTCAAATACCATCCCGTGATATTATTCATAGATTATTTAAGCAATACAGACAACATTCGTTGCAAAGAAGTAAACAATAAATATCTTCAATAAACAGTTTTGACTCCGATAAACGTTAACAGAATTTAGATAAAAATCACATATTTGATAATTAAATAAATATTATTAATAAGCATAAAATGCATATATGTACAAAAGGCAATAAAAAGAAAAAGTATAATAAAACATTTTTTACGAAAATCAAAAAGTATTACCAATGTACAAAATCACATCCTTTATATATTCGTAAGACATTAGTTGGTCAAATCCAAGAGTTCAGTATTAATATGTTTGAATTTTGTCTTAAGCATTTGTATTACGTTATCAAACTTCTTCCATTCAATACAAAGAATCAAAAACTACCAAAGTTGACTCATATTGAGATCTTTGTATTGATATCTCAATATGAGTCAAGGCTTAATTTAAAGATGTTTCGCTACATTGATATGCATTTTACAAAGATATTTATATGTGTCAAATTTTTGGTAACGGCTTGGCCCATGCCTATTTTGTCCACGAAATCCAGCTTTAATCATTATGGTTTCAAATTATATCTTTTAATATCATTCTTTTGTCAATGCAGGCATTTTCTGATGTAAACGAATAAATAATCAACATTTTCAATTTACAACACGCTAAAACAAACAACAAAACAATTGAATTAAGAATGTACAACAACATCTAGAATACAAACAAAACACAAATTAACTAAAGTGCAGTTATTATGAACACAAACATATGTAGAACTATGTGCAATGATGCGAATCGAGAATTTAGGCTGCAACGTCATATTTACACCAACAATATCATTTTTATTTACATATGGTTCCAGAAAAAAGAAAACACATCGTACATAACTGCAATACTCTCTCTCTCTCTCTCTCTCTCTCTCACACACACATCTTTGACATATTATTTATGTAGGAAAGCAAAAACTGTTCACATGATAATTGATAAAGGATTCATTGAACACGGCAATAATTTTTCATTGACATGTAGGAGCTAATAGTGTTCGCATACATTCTTTATTTTGATATGAAACAAACTTAAAATAAGATGTATTCAACAGTTACATACACATAACCACAATAAGTTTTCTAAAGGAATAATTCAAACCATACAAAGCAGCAACCGAAACATAGAATAAATTAAGCAAATAATTTGAATGATAAAACAATAAAAAACTTAAATCAAAACAATGATCCAAAAATAATTTTGAAAATAATATTTGCATTACTGCAAACCCTCTTGTTTAAAAAATCTGAAAACATAATGTTTAATTGTCATACATTTTAACAGAGACACATACAATACACAGTTACATACTTTGGAGTCTGGCCAGTTGTTTGCTATAGATACATTTAATTGTTACACCAATTTCCATCGTTTTAAAGTAAAACAAATAACACATCTTATTTCTGTGTATGCATCTAGTTAACAATAAAGTACTCACTTTGTGCATGTTGTTCTTGATGACATATAATAAAGTGTCATCTTTTAGCATGTCGTCACTTTGTTCCAAACTTGTACTTTATTCAACGATTATGAATGACTTCTTTCTTACCTAGTTATACCCTCTTTATTTTTTTTATCTTACCATTTGAAGTTATTTTGTTCGGCGAGAAAGTCCTAGGTACTAGTCTTTACTGATGTGATATCAAAAAGTTCATCGCACAAAAGATTAAGTAATGTACTATTGGCATTTTTGTATCAAAGAAGTCACTTTTCAAAGTTTTTTTTTTATCAGTGCCCAAATACATTTGTGTATCAAACAATACATTACGCAAAAGAGTTTTTTTTTTACTAAATTCTCTATTTATATGTGTACATTGTTATAAAAAAGTGATTATTCACAAGTATTTACTAAAGGCTATTGATTTATTTGTATCAAATAAGTAACTTGTCATACGTTTTGACTTTGTTCATCTTATCAATTTGCATATTATATCAAATAAGGTGATCATTATTAATGTTTAGTATCGTCTCTTGAAATGTTTGCAAAGTGGTATCAAAAAATTCAGTCCCATGACTGTGAAGTCAAATCTATTAAACCAGGTCAATTGAAAGCATGATGCACGATTTATAAGAAACATCTAACTCTTGATTTCACAAGTTCTATTTTGTTTAAATAAATCCCGCCTTATATTGAGAAAATCAATATTTCCTTTTCGATTCTGAAAAGCGATTTTCCTTGAATTTATCCCATTTACGTATGAATCAAGAATGTCCTGAAACCTAGAATTCATAAACATCCTATTTTCATCAATGTATTCTATTTCTAAATTGGTCTTTGTTATACCATCAAACAATCTTTCAATGTATTGATGTAACAAATCATCAGGAATAATAACACCAAAACATTCTTGTCGATTGTCAGAGTTTTCTATGATGTCATTTCCTGTTAAGACGAACATGGTATTGACAAAATTCCTACTTCCCGTCCAAATGAGGTTTCCGATTTCCACTCTTGTTAGTTGTTTTGTATAGGTTTGTAGGGCTACCCGAAAGGTTACATTTATAATACATCTATTCGCAGCAATGCATTCCTTCACATAATCGGTCCTTGTAATATCATAAAACCATCTCTCAATGTATTGCTGTAACACATCATTAGGAATAACAATACCAACGCATTCAAATCGATATTTCGGGTTGTATTTGATGTCATTTTCTGTCATGACAAACATAGCATTGACAAAATCACTACTTCCTGACTGTATAAGGTTTCTTATACGGTCTATGTTTAGCTGTCGTAAAAATGTACGTACTGCTGTCATGAATTCAAAATTCATCAAAGGCCTATTATCATTCATGTATACCTTTACTGATTCGGCGTTTGTTAAATGAGCAAACCATTTCTCAATGTATGGCTGTAATATATCATCATGAATAACAAGGCCTATACTTTCAGATCGATTGTCCGACCGGTCCTTGATTGCATTCTCTGTCATGACAAACATTGTATTGATGATATCTCTATTTGCAAACTTAATAAATGGATCGCCGTATTTTGTATTTGGCGTCCTCATCAGGGTACGCAGAGTATTATGGAAAGTAACATTCATGAAAGACCTATTACCGTTAATGTATTCCTTCACTGATTTAGCAATTGCTAGATTACTGAACCATATACAAATGTATTTCGTTACAAAGTCATCAGGAATAACAATACCAAAGCATTCAGATCGTATCTGTGAGTTATCTTTGATATCATCTTCAGTAATTACAAACATAGTATTGAAAAAATCACAACTTCCTGTCTGCAAGATGTTGCCTATACTTTCTCTGTTTAGTTTTCTTATGAATGTACGTAGTGCACTCTTGAATGTAACATTCGTCAAAGGCCTATTATCATTTATGTATTCCTTTACCGAACCTGAGATTTTTACGTAATTAAACCATCTCTCAATATACTGCACTAGCAGATCATCAGGAATAACAATACCGAAACATTCATATAGGTTCTCAGCGTTGTCTTTGATGTCATTATCCGTCATGACAAATATTTTATTGAGGAAGTCACTTTTTCCACTTTCAATAAGGTAAGCTACTTTTGATTTGCTTAGTTGTTTCATGTACGTTCGAACCATTGTGCGGAGAGTAATATTCATCAAAGGTCTACTACTGTTGAAAAATTCCTTCACCAAATTGGTTTTGGTCAAATTTTCGAACCATCGTAGTATGTATTCCTCTAACAGATCATCAGGAATAATAATACCAAAACATTCAAATTGATTCTCCGTGTTATCTTTGATGTCATCATCTTTCATGACAAACATTGTATTGATAAAGTCGTCTTTTGCAGACTGAATTAGGTTACTGATTTTCTCTGTGTTTAGCTTTCTCGTATAAGTACGCAAGGCAGTACGGAATTGTACATTGTTTAAAAGTCTACAGTTATTAAAAAAATCTTGGACACAACTGGTATTTGTCAAAGCATTTAACCACTTCTCAATATATTGTTGTAATAAATCACTAGTAATAACCACACCAAAACAATTATGACAATTATCTGCGTAGTCGTTGATGTTCTCCTCGCTTATGACGAACATTTTATTGAGAAAATCATCATTTGCAGACAAAAAGAGAGAACTTATTGTTTCTGTGTTTAGTTGCCTCGTGTAATTACACAAAGCAGAACGAAATGTTTCATTCTTCGATGGTCTGTTTTTATCTATGAATTTCTCCACCTCACTGGTTTTAGTCACAGAATTAATCCATCTCTCGAGGTATTGTTGTAGTAAATCATCAGGAATCACGATACCAAAAAATTCGTACCGGTTCGCACAGTTGTCTTTGATGTCCTCCTGCGTCATGACGAACATTAGATTAATAAAATCATCGTGTGCAGTCTTAATGATTTGTGCTATCTGTTCAGTTGTCAATTTTGCCATGTACGTACGTATAGCACCACTGAATGTAATATTCAGTAATGGTCTATTTTTTTCTATGGTGTTATCTACAGAAGGCGTTTTGGTCAAATCATTAAACCACCTCTGAATGTATTGATGTAACAGATCATCAGGAATAACAATACCAAAACATTCATATCGATTCACAGTGTTGTATTTGATGTCATCCTCTGTCATGACAAACATTAAATTGACAAAATCTCTACTTCCTGTCCGAATGATTGCAGCGATTTTTTCTGTAGTTAGTTGTCTCATGTGGGTGCGTAGAACACAATGCCATGTTACCTTATTCAATATTCTATTTTCATCAATGATCTCAGTTATCCAATATGTTTTGGTCAAATCATCAAACCACCTCTTAATGTATTGCTGTAACAGATCATCAGGGACAACAATACCAAAACACTCATATTGGCTCAGTGCATGGTCTTTGATGTCCTCCTCTGTCATGACAAACATTGTATTGGAAAAGATATGCACTGCATTCTGAATGAGTGAAGCAATTGTATCTCTGGTTAATTGTTTCATATGTGAGCGCAGAGCTGTGCGACCTTTAACATGTTTAATTACTCTATTTATATGTAAGTTTTGCACCAATCTATATCCGTTTGTCAGACGGTAAAAAAACTTTTCAATGTATTGATGTAACATGTCACTAGGAATAACAATACCAAACCATTCATATCGGTTCTTAGAGTTGTCGTTGATATCATCCTCTGTCATGACAAACATTGAATTGAGAAATGAATCCTCTGTTGTTTGAATGAGTGTAGCAATGTCTTCTGTGGTGAGTTGTCTCATGTAGGTTCGTAGGGCACGACGAAGTTCAAGATTCATCAATGGCCTATTTTTGTTAATGAATTTATCAAGCATCACGGTTGTTGTCATATGGAATTGAAAAGTAATAGGAAATGTAAAAGTAATCTCAAACATTAGACCATCTATGCAGACGTTCGACCCGACGTGTTTTGTCAAATCTTCAAACCATCTTTTTATGTAAAGGTGTAACATATCCTTTGGAATGACAATGCCAAAACGTTTATTTTTTGTCTTAGCAAAGTCTTTAATATCATGTTCGGTTATGACAAACATTGTATTGAGAAAATTCCTACTTCCAGTCAGAATGATAGAAGCAATTTTCTCTGAGTTTAATTGTCTCATGTAGGATTTCAATGCAGTACGGAATGTAACGCAATTCAAAAGTCTATTATCCTCCATAAATGTCTTCGTGGAATTAATCTTAGTCAAATCATCAAACCACCTATCTGTGTATCGTTGTAACATATCATCAGGTAAAATTATTCCAAAACTTTCATATTTTCGTGAGCTATCGTTAACAATGTCTCTAATGTCTTTTTCTCTCATTACAAACATAGTATTTAAAAAATTTGAACTCGCTTGTTCCATTAATGATATTAGTTCGTGCTTGGAAAGATGTCTCATGTAGTCATGGAACATAGTGCGAAATTTAACATTTCTTAAATTTCTATTTTCCACTATGTTAGTATTTACATTACATGAACTTACTATATCTTTAAAAACACGTTTCATGTACATTTGCAATTTGTCATCAGACATAAATATCAAATGATGTGCACGTTCGTAGTCATGAGTTACAACGAATCTTTCACGAACAAATCTTGGTTTTGCATGCTTTATCAAAATGCTTATAAGATCTTCCTGTGATCCAAAATAAAAAGCTAAGAAATCAAACAGCTTGTCATGAATGGTTTGGTAGATGCTTTTATCATAAGTCACAAACGTTCCAATCAATATTTCAAGTTGGGACTTTAGTTTCCTGCCTGTTATATTGTCATCTATTTCACATACTTCTATAATGTCTTCTATCATCTCCTTAACTTGAGGATCCTTACCTGTTAATTTTTTCTCCTCTAACTTGTTGTTGAAGATAACTAACACAAGCAAAGCACAATATTTGTACTTACCTTCTTTACAATCGTTATATAAACTAGTCAACTCTTTTTCAAAACATGAAAATGGATCACTAAGAAAAGAATTGAGATTAAATTTTGGATTATTGCTCTGAATATAATATAATTTACATAGAAAGGGTAAAATCTCATATTTACCCAAGTGAGTTAATGCTGCTAATGAGTGTTCCTTAAAATACTTGGCCGTCATGCTTTCTTTTTCTTTCGACGTTAAAGATAATCCCTCAAAGCTTAAGTTACATTCACATGTTTTGAAAATTTCTAAATTTGTAAACCCTTTATCTTGAAAAACTTGAAGTCTACATGTTAAAATTAATTTACAATTGTTGTTTTCTAAAATGCTTTTGATGTCATTCATTGATTTCTTCCATTCTTCTATCCGAGTTTGGTTTGCTGTAAAATTTCCACACATGTCGTCAACAATGTACAGCGTTTTTCTTCCTGATCTATATTGATCTTTTATTTCTTTCGCATCAGTCACTGTGAATATTGTGTATCCATTTGTGTCAAGTTGGAGGGCAATGTGCCTAACTAAAGCAGTTTTTCCACATCCTGACGGTCCTATTACGCTTACACAGTTGTATTTGCTGACACAAGACAAAACATGCTTTGTTGCTCTTGTGTCGATATAAAGACCGTCATCCTTTTTCCAACTTTCTATCATATCAATCATGAAATCTAGAATGTAAATGACAAAATATAGATTATTAGGTTTATACCACATTTATATGAGAAAAACACGGTGGTAGTCATTCAGGTTTAACTGATTTAATGAACACTCAATATTATGGATCAGTCACCCTGTAGAATTAATCAATAGTCAACGCTTAATCGTCGATCATTTCCTGATCAGTCATAATTTGGAAGATTTTGTTCCAACGGACAATTGATCTGCACTTTTAAAGATCGGTCGGATAACATCAAATCATAACCTTTTCATAGTCTATCAAAAAGAAAATGTCTTTACAATCACAATGAAAAGTTGAAAACGTTTTCAAAGCAATAGGAAAGAGACATGACCTGTGTATGTAATGGAACGGCAACATATTTATAGTTTAAAGAAGTGTATAAAAAGTAAAACAACAAAAATACCGAACTCCGAGGAAAATTAAAAACGGAAAGTCCCTAATCAAATGTCAAAATGAAAAGCTCAAACACATCAGACGAATGGATAACAAATCTCATTTTCCTGACTTGGTACAGGCACTTTCTTATGTAGAAAAGGGTGGATTAAACCTGGTTTTATAGATAGATAAACCTCTCACTTGTATGACAGTCGCATAAAATTCCATTATTTTTACAACGACATAAAAAGTAAAAATGTCAAAAATAGGGGTACAACAGTCATCATTGCTAGAAATAAATCTTAATCAATATGAAAACAAACAAATATGTCAACAAAGAAACACAAAAAGCATAAAGACAAATCACATAATCAAAAATGAAAACAAAAAATACAAAAAGTTACCATTGCACAAACACTCAATGACGGATGTATAAGTACCGAGCCACATCAAAAGGATATTATCAACAATAGACTAAACAGTAAAACACAAAATAAAGAATTCTACAACACGTTATTAAGATGACAAACAACGTCAGTAACCAAAAGCTATACTTCATAGTCTTAGTATCTTTCGATGAACTTTTTTAGAAAACAGACGAGACGTTTTTTGTCATACCCCTGTTTCATTAACTTTCGGCTCAGATACTGGTGACATTTTACAAAGTCTGAGTAGCAAATGCAAGCTCTTGAATACCGTACAACTTGGTAAATGTATATCCCATATGCAGATGAAGTTGGCATATTGCTAGTAGCAATGGGAAATTTATAATTTAAAAATTAAAATCGTCTGGTTTGTCATCGTATCTGGTACTGAGATGACCGTTTATGTCAATTCGAGGTATAAGTCTAAAAATGAGGCCGAGGAAGTCGTGTTTGATGTTTCTTTAATTTCTAGTTCTGGTGGATATACTAATTGAACCCAATCAGAAAAGGTTGGATAGTTAATGGAAAGAACTTCATCAATATATCTGAATGTTAAATTAAATGATCTGGCTTCTTTGATCTTCTCGTTTTTGCGGAAGCTAATTATTGTTCTTCCCTCGCCGGGATTCGAACTATTGGGATATCGAGACAACACTGCCTGCACTGTGTCCATCGCTCTAGACCACTCGGCCACCTAGACTTATAATTCTGCTTTCGATGGCCTAGTGTCCATAGAATCAAGAGTTGATATACAGTACATGATATATTAGGCATGAAGATGGAATTGATTCCAGATTAGCTAAACATCTATCCTAAAAGTTCATATGATACAGTCACAGGAATAAATATCATTCTGATAAGTAAGTCTAAGCAACAGACAACTCTACTACAAATCCATCCATTGGATCACCAGTGAAGGTGATACACGGCTGAAAACACATAATATATTCGTAATTACTCTAAATGTCAGCACAACAATGTTAAATCTGCAAATTTGAGGAAACAAATTGTTGTTTTTCCCTCGCCGGGTTCGAACTCATGCTATTGGGATATCGAGACAACACCGTCTGCACTTTGTCTATCGCTCGAGACCACTCGGCCACCTAGAATGAACTAATTTTTCAGATTTTTAAAAAATATGACCTTTTGTATATTTTGTTGGTCCGTTGATATATTGAGACTCGTGTAATAGCAACAGCTGCAGACCAGCTCAACCCTGAAACATCAAGGTTAATGAATACTCGTATAGCCTATATTCATAGCAAATCTCATGTCCAAGAACAACAAACGCTGAAAAAAGTTCAATCAGAAAGAAACACAAAAGCAACCTGTTATTTATTTTGATAGGAATTTATACGAAATATGGTTTCCAGTTATGAGCCATTAAAGGCAAAAGTAGGGGATACATAATGTTAAACAATTTGGTAAATCAAAGAGTCAAAACTTCTGCAGTAATTGTTCGAGCGGAACGGAACCTCAAACTCGTTCTGTATCTTCTTAATATATGACCATTTACCAAAGGTTTGATTAATTGATTCAGGTATTTTTTTCTTATGTTAGGTTTTAAGGGGAGGCTACTCAAAAGCAATATATTTTTAAAGGAATCTAGATGAACATTTTCTATTTTATGTTGTATCAGAAAAAAATGTGCCGTAACTCAATTTATTCTTTTTATATTCTGCAAAAATGTTCAAAGAGCTACTTGCTAGTACTAGTATTATATTTCACAACTATAGCATTTAGCATGTTTAGTCGGATCAAGTATAGAATACGTAATTGTAGTTCCATCGGAATTTTAATTTTTCATAGTAGGTAAATCGGTTCTTATATATATAAGGGATTTTTTTTTTATTTTCAGTTATTTGGTTTTCATTTTTATAAAACAATTGTAGTTCCTTTCAGTTTAAAGTGAATTGTATGCATTTAAAATATTGTAAAACTTAAATGGTCGACAGGTCAGCAGGTCGACAAGTCAGCAGGTCGACAGGTCAGCAGGTTAATTGGTCGACAGGTCAGCAGGTCGACGGGTCAGCAGGTCGACAAGTGAGCAGGTCGACAGGTCAGCAGGTCGATTGTTGGAGCCCAATTATTATCACCGGGTTGGTACTTACATGAGCAGCAAGACGAGTGCCACAGGTGGAGCAGTATTTGTTTATCCGTCCAGGGCAACTGAGATCACCCCCAGGTTTTAGTGGAATCGCTCAGTCTTTAGTTTTCCTTGTTGTGTTTTGTGTTCTGTTGTGAATTTGTTAGTCTGTTTCATTTTAAGCCATGGTGTTGTAAGTTTATTTTCGACTGATGAGTTTGAATGTCCCTTTGGTATCGTTCGCCTCTCTTTTGTAATATCGAATATAACACTATACGAAGCCAAGGAAACGTTACCTTCTAAAAACGAATAATTGACAATAGTATTGAAAAATCATCTTTTTTATCGTTAATTATAGTAATAAGCTTCCCGTTCCACATTTACCGTTTACTTAATTTTCGGTTGTTTCACTGTTATTAGATGAAAATAAGTAAGTAAAACCACAGGTGGTTTTGGCATGAACCTTATTTTATTTTTTCTTCGTGTAGAAATTAGTTTTTCAAAAACAATATGTCTTAATTTCTACAGAATTTTAGTTAATTGATGTGTTCTTGTTCCTATTGATACACTCTTAATCAACTGTTAGATCGTACGAATATGAGCAAGAACACATTGAGTAACTTTAAATAATTTGAAATAAATAAGACATTTAAATTAAACACCAAAATATATTTTATAAAAGAAAAGGAAGAGGGTTCCAATACCACACTCTCTGTTTGGTAGTCAATTGACGTTTTGTTTAACAGTTTAAATAGATACTTCTTGAAGTTATTGTGCAAAGTCAGCATATTTTGTTTTGCAAGTAAAAATCAATAATAACTCTAAATATTTTTAAATAAATTTTACTATCATTCTTACTTGTATTTAAGTAAAATTCATTTTATTTCATTACTAAATTTACAATGAATACCATTATGATTAAATAAGTTAACATTTCATTTTAAAAGGCTCTTAATTTATAGGAAATCTTTTCGATATTCATTATGCTAATTACTCCGACCACATGCGTATGGTCAAATACTCAATAACATATTGTCTGGAGCATATATACGAAATATGCCACCAACATCAAACATCTCATAGAACATATTGAAAGACTTTGCATAAATTCAGGATTTCAAATTATAGTTAAAAATGAAAATGGTGATATAAAAAGAGAACACCATTTTATTTACCAGTCATTCCATTTTCTCTTCTTCTTTTTCTTTCTTTTTGTCTTCTCTGTATTTCTGTCAAACTGTCAAAACCTTCATAATAACAGAAAAAGACCATAAGTAAATAAATTATAACGTAGAAATCGCAGAAAATAATGAAATGATTGGAAAGACTAGCTATGAATATGTGTATAATGGTTTATAGGTAACTAAATCATCCCTTCTCGAATTCAATGGACGTCTTCAAGAGTTGGTTGAGCGTTGTGGAATATTTGTTCGACAAATGTCGACGGATATGTTCGAAACGTCGTCACAACAATCACGTCTTCCTGTTTCCCGAATGTGACCTTTCGAATAAGACTTATAAATAGGTTTGTTCTTGCATGAGCAACAAAACGTGTGCTACATGTGGAGCAGGATCATCCTATACTCCCAACTCACGCGATATCTCTAGAAGTATTTGCTGGAGTTAATGTTGCTAAGTTTTTTATTTTCTATGTTGTGTTTTGTTTACGGGTGGTTGTCTATTGGTTTTTTTTCTATTTCTGTAATGACGTTGTCAATTTATTTTCGACTGATAAGTTTGAATGTTCCTTTGATCTTTTTCGCCTCTCTTGTCCTAGGAACATGATTAATCGTAGATTTCATATTCTTTTGATTGATAATTTTAAAAAACAATTTATTAAACAATACAATTATGCCGCCTACTCTCATACATCTCATTGAAAACATTGAGAGACTATAATAACAAAATTTCAAGATTTACTGGAAATAAACATTTCAGACTACATAGAAAAATAATCATATTTACCAGTCATTTCATTTTCATTTCTTCTTCTTTTTCTTTCTTTTTGTTTTCTTTTTCTCTCTCTCAAACGTTTTTCTTCAGGATAAGACATATACCATAAGTGAATACATCAAGAAACAACCAATCATTGAATGATTTGAACCACAAGAGTTTTATAATTGCAGGCATAAAAACTATGTAGTAACATTGTTGCAGAATTATTTTATGAATATCTCTTTGTTTTAGTTATAGTTAAGGAATATTCTGTGTATCTACCGACCAATGCAAAGTGATTTGTGGTGAAATAAAGGCAACAGTAGTAAACTGCTCTTCAAAAGTCATACATCAATTGAGAGAAAACAAATCCGGGTTTCAAATTAAACTCGAGGGAAACACATCAACTGTAACATGTATATAAGGAAAACAACGGAACAACAAACACACTGAAGTGCAAAAAAAACAAAGGCCAACATACATAGAAACGGACTATTTGATAACAACTGCCACCTTCTTGACTTGGTACAGGACATAATGACTTGAACACGGTTTTTATGACTTCCCACACCTCGTGCTTATATGGCAATGTTAAAAGATATTGCTAAAATTAAAACACTATGTGACAGGAATACAGTACACACAAACACTACTACGTGAACACTCAGCACAGAGAATCGCATGAATAATTAATATAATAGTACATTTCAAGATGTAAACCGCAGAATAACAACAGACATCTTCCTTGAACAACAGCACAGCATACCACAAACAGTGAAGTATTTTTGTGACGTATACATAATCTTGATATTCATATAATGATATGAAACGAGATTCAAAAATTTAAAATTACTTTCATAATACTGGTCCAAATAATTATCATGGTTAAATATAAAAAAAAGAAGATGTGGTGTTATTGCCAATGAGACAACTCTCCACAAGAGACAGATGACACAGAAATTATCAACTATAGGTCACCATATGGTGTTTAACAATGAGCAAAGCTCATACCACATAGTCAGCTATAGAAGGCCCCGAAATGACAAATGTAAAACAATTCAAACAATAAAACTAACGTCCTAATTCATGTACATAAAAAATGAACAAAAAACAAAAAAGTAACACAGCAACAAACTACAACCACTGACTTACAGGATCCTGACTTGGGATAGGCACATACATAGAGAATGTGGTGGGGTTAAACATGTTAGAGGAATCCAACCCTCCCCTAACCTTGGACAGTGATGTAACAGTACAACATAAGAACTAACTATACAAATCAATTGAAAAAGGCTTAACTTAACAGATAGATACAAATAGAAATAAGAATAAGCTAAGAAAAACACAGAGTATACATCCCAACAACAAAAAGACACTAAGTATAGATCTGAGAATACTCGCAGTTACTGACAGCTAGTTCAAAGCCAATAACAAGTAATGAAAGAAATCATATATCTAAGACCAAATTATCAATCAGTATGACGGTCTTGAAAGGCTATTTTTAATTAATGTTTTGACGACGTCATAATTATTTGGACTAACACAATACTTTATCCATGGAAAATGGATATTAACTGGACTATACTGACAAATAAAACATATGTGAAATGTACCGAAATTACTGGTCAAACTGTGAAACAACGAAGGCAAATGAAAAATTGTTTCTAAGAATTTTTCTTAAACATTGTTCATGGAATTCGGTTTATCTCCTGCTTGGAAGTATTTACTAATCAAATTTCAGCCTTAGCCTCATTACGTAATATATTCGAGTTTTTCTAGTACTCCAGGTTTTTCAATGTCAACCTAAAGGACCATAGTTTTATACCATTTGATTAATTTAATAGTATGCTACTCTATATAAAAATATAACATTATGCATTTATATATCTCCAGTACTACTATGATACTGTTCGCAAAATAGAGCTGTCTTACATTTTGACGAAAGTTACGAACGAACGTAAAGCATTTATTACATTTCCAAGTTAACATTTTTAAAAGAGTCTTTGTTTTATCCGGTAAAACAGCACTCTTTTCTGAATCAAACCTATCTTTAAAAATTTAAGCATATAGCAAATAAACGACCCTTTACATCTGAAAATAAAGAAAAACACTTTCAAATACACTTACGTCCGATTCGTTACTCACGTTTACCACGATTACACACATTTTTGGGGGAATTGTTCAAGCATGCGTTTCACCACTAACATTTTAATGAAATTTTTGAGGTATGATACTCTTAATTTCACGACAAGATTCACAATTATTTTTATTTTCAATGAATATGCTATCACCAAATTAGATGATTGCTGATTATTGGTCGCTTCACGTCCAGTGACAAATATATCATAAATGTTCATGACGAATACGCAAGTATACGCTGGAAGAAAATGAGTCGGGTGTATGGACACATCACAAGGCGAGATTGAGTATTCCCCCAGGGAGAGGCGGTAAATCACTGCAAGTTATTAAACGAACCTCGGCATAATATGTTTTAGAGGTAATTTTTTTTCAATTTTTATCATTTTGGGGGTTGCAAATTTTGAATTTAGCAAGAATTGTTTAGTATTTTATCTATGTTTTGTGTGAGGGGGAAGCCAATTTATTTGCCTTGATATTTTCTTAGGTTAAATAATACATAGTTGTAATTTTCATTTGTCGGGGTGGTGATCACAATCTTTTATTTTCATGTTTATTTTCTTCTGACGACCTTATATTTAGGAAATTCTGTAGAGTTATATCATTCTCCCTGGTGGTATTTTTACCCCTCGTACGTCCCGAAATTCCTATATTGCACGACAAATAAAGTTTAACACGTGTCGTTGTATGCAGTGTACTGGAGTCGTTTTCACAAAAAAAAACTTACGACTAAGATTGATCGTAAGTATACTGATTCGTTCATGACTTAAAACCAATCTTATAATCGTAAGTTTTTTTTGTGAAAACCGAATCCTGGTCCTTAAGAGGCAAACATTAAGGCGAAACGCCATCGAAGTTCAATGACGATTTGATTGAGATTACATATATGTAAAAAAAAAAAAAAGGATCCCTTAAACGAGTCTAACGTATGATTCGTCAAGCGTACGTACCTTTCGTCAAATTGAAAGAAAGCTCTAATAAGACCTCATGTTTGACCTTCATATTGGCCAATGTTTCGATAATTACCATAGTTCAGCTCACAAATCTTGCAAAATACACAAAAGTTGGTCTAAGGCGAATTAGCTGTTTTTCTAGTAGCGACATCAGACTGAACTTGAAATTGAATGGATCCAGTGAATTATGTAAACAATGTACTGCATTTATTTTTGTGTAGGGCTTGAGAAGGGATAGATTGAACTAAACAATAAAAATGTAATACTAATTACTGCTTTTCCCAAAATAATGCTGATTAAAAAAATTGAGATTAAGAATGTGAATATCTAAATGACGATGTTAATCTTCAAATCTATCATGAAACTATTTTTTATGAAATATTACCTTCTTCAATATGTTCAACAGTTGTTTCTAGTTTTACTATTTTGCAAGCGTTCTCCGCTATTCCACTTTTATTCTCACCTATTTTACTTGTATTTAAAGCTATTGAACATCTATGCTCGGCTAATTCAATTGTATGGTCGTTTAATATTTTGCGGTTTTGCTGAATATTCGCATCACGATTCACAAGTTCCTGGAGGGCATTAAAGTCTAAAAGTGTAGTTTTGGCAGTAGCAGAATCTGTAACATCTTGTTGGTTTCCTAAACCATTGATAGCCTTTAGAATGTAGAAAACAAATAAGTATAAAAAGAGCAATTTTATGTCATACAATTAGAGAAATATGAATAACAGTATTATATAATCTTCATGCATTTACTACAATGTCAACATAATTAAAGTTTAATTAGAAAAACATATTACAAGAACGGAATATTAAATATAGAAATAAAGAGATGTGCTAGGATTACAAATGAGACAACTATCCATCAAATTTCAAATGAAGTGTATGTAAACAAGAATAGGCAACATACGGCCGTCAACAATGAGAAAAAATCCATGCCGCATCGTCGGCTATAAAAGACCCCGACATGAAAAATATGAACAATTCAATTTAGAACTCAAACTGCTTAATCTATAATAAAACAATTTTCGAAAAACAAATATTACAGACATGAACCAACGACAACCACTAAACAACAGGCTCCTGACTTGGGAAACGCACATAAAAATATGGCGGGGTTAAACATATTTGCGTGCGCTCAACTCTACCTCTTACCCAGGACAGAGGTGTAACAGTACTACATAAGAACAACCTATAAAATTCAGTTGAAAAACGCTTAACTCATCAAATGGATACAAATAGAAATACTTCTAACAAAAACACAGAGTAGACGTGGACGAGTACTTATACATCCAAAAAACAAAAAGTCACTACGTACAGATCTGAGAGTACTTGCAGTTACTGACAACTAGTTCAAAGCCAATAACAAGTAATGAAGGAAATCATATATCTAAGACTTGAATATTAGTCATTACACATCCCACATCAAACAGTCAGAGAAAAACATAACCCTGTGCAATGCCTAACTATAGGAAAGTACATATGTGTAAAATTTAGTATGGTTTTAATTCACTGAGAACATAATCAATATTTACACCAATATAAACAATATTTAAAGATTTGATTACAGTGTTGAATAGGTAACATTTTAGAAAATTTACGGGATTGATAAATTTACTCGGATCGTATCTAAATTTCTGGGCTCGGTTGACAACAGCACCGTACAATTTAGGATGTGCTATTCCGGTTGAAATAAGTTTTCTACAGGTAAATCCAAACTTGTAGACCAAATCTTTGTATCAATGAAAGACTTTGGTAAAGGTAATTTGTGAAAACGAAATCCCTGACAATAATTTACTAGTAGTACATAGATTAGGCTCATTAAAATTCAAAACGTCACCACAGACATCAGCTTAGCAAAAGAGTTAACATATATAAACACGGTAAGACAGTGCCAAAGGAACATCACCGTCCAAAAAGAGAATACTTACAATAGGAAAAGAAAAATCATTCCTTTTGTCGTAAATTTAGTAGAGTTTCTGGTGTAATGCTTAAATACCTAAATCTGGGAAAGGACAATTATTGCTGTTCATATTAGTTTTTTTTAAGTAAGATCCTTTGGCTAAATTTCAGCATTATAGTTAGATAATTTTTGATTATTAAACGAAAAAAATATCATCAATATAACGATAAGTGTCGTTGAATTTATCAATTAAATGGAATATATGACGGTTCTTTACTGAGTTTGGTCATCAATGAGATTCATAACAGTAAAGGAACGAGTGTGAAAGAAACGAACGTTTTAATAACCATTTGATAACTATTTTAATTACCAGTGAGTTTGAATAAATTTGGAAAAAAAGCATCTTTTCACTTGCAAAACAATTTGACTTTTTTACATCTATATAGACCCGACCTTTGATGTGACTTCAGTTGGTGATAAAAAAATAAAACAACGTGTGTTCAATAAAGTTCTGTTTGGTAAAAGAATGCCAGCGTCAAAAATGAAACATGGGATCCGACAGGACGATCAATTCAGTTGGTTGATTTTTGTACAGTAGTTTAAACCAAACAGAAGAATATTTATTATATATTTATTATCATATTGCACGTGATATATATATATATATTGTATAGTAGAATCAATTAGAGATCTTATATATTAACACAAAAAAAACCATGGAAAACACACAATTGCAATTTGTTGGAAACATAGAAAGTTGTAGTAGATCTTATCATCAGATAGGCGCCAATACCTACATGTTTCGTCTAGCCATCCAAATTCTCTCAAAAATGCTTTACCTTATTTACTCGGTATTCATGTTAAAAGGATTTTCTCAGCAGAAAGATATTATGAAAGACGAAGAGAAGAAATATAAACGCACCTGCAAAAACAAGTATATAATAATTCGTCAACTGAAGATCAAGTGACAATGTCGACATATTTAATCAACACAAAACAAACAAATAAAGCAACAGAGTACTTTTAGTCACAACTAATTCCAAAGCACTCCCTAATATACATTTCATTCTCAGAAAATCCTTAAAAATTATGCACAAATCTAACAACCTAAAGAAAATATTCCCCGATCCGCCTACCGTAGCGTTCAAACGCGTCAACAACATAGAAGACGTTTAAGCACACAAGAAACATAATTTATTATTTTACAAACATAGTAATAGCTGTGGACCATGCTGGAAAAATTGCGCATTATTTTCACACATTAATGAAACCAAAGTATTCTGTGATAACACCGAAAAAGAATACACAATTCAGGGACATGTAGAATGTAAAACTGTGAGCGTAGTGTATGCAATTAAGTGTACAAAATGTGAAAAACGTATATGTGAGACAAACAGACGATTTACTGTATCAACGTATGATTATGAACTTTTCTAAAATAAGAACAAAAAACTGACCATCCAGTAGCAAACCAGTCCATTCAACATAACGATTCGATAAAAACTCTAAAAAGTCACTGCAATAGAAAGAGCATTTAGCATAGAAATTTACCAAAAAACTAAAGAAGCCTTGTGGATTTGAAAATTAAAAACTTTAGAACCTGACGGGCTGACCACTATGTACGAACGATAAAAAACGCAATGTAAAAACAAAGGAAAAAGCGCGGCAAACGAACGTCATGGAAGTTATGTAACGTAACGTAATCCAAGCGATGTAATTGTTGTTTCAATATTGTAATGTATTCCAATAAAGAAGGCCTTAATGGTCGAAACGTATGGAAACTTATGTTACAGAATTTATTATATATTTATTTATATATATTTTACTGGGGTCACATAACAATCGGCTATCTAACGTTTAATACCATAATGTGGGTACGTTTTATGATGTCATACTTCTTTTATTGTTTTCTTTTGTAATTCTGATATAGATTTTTTTTATAAATAAATTCAAAATCTTTATTCAGTATAAATAAATTGGTGAACATGCTGTTTGCAATTAATATCCATGTTAATAATCCTTAAAAATTGAAAGAATTTTTGTCAGAATCTAATCCCACCTAATCGTTTTGGAATATCATACGGCAGTTTTGTTTTAGAGAAACACATACTGTAAACCAACTTATTTTCGCGGATACTTTATTTCGCGTTTAGCCCTTACTAGCCCATTTCACGGCAATTTAATTTCGCGATTTTCTTATTTTATTAATGTAGTTATATGCGGAAAGATCCAAGTTTTATATTTTCGCGACGATTTATATTCTCTTTTTTTTTCTACTCGCGAAACATGCGAAAATAAATCGCTCGCGAACATCAGTCGGTTTACAGTACTTGTTTTGCTAATGATCTCCTGTTAATGATTGTGTTTTCATATATCAGCCAATGAGTAAACAATAAGTGCCCATGAACTTGAGATATAAAAGGGGTGACATATACCCTTAGAGCAAAAGTTGTACACGTTATGTTAAATTTTTGTTCGATTTGTTTATCTATGTGATATATATTTTCCTTGATGTCGTGAATAGACGAGTGACATTAACCATAACATTTTATTTTTAGTGCACCCACCTAAATCATATACCATTCGAAAGCACATTATCTGTACTGTCTTTTTTGCCCGGTCTTAAAATATTCATATGGTGCAGTTTCCGTCTAATCACGATTAAGGTCAATAACAGACAATTTCTAATTTTACAAGATGTCAGCATTTTTGCATATTCTGCTTCTAAATAATAATATTTTGTATGGAAAAATGAAAATCTGTTAGAACAGATGTTAATGGTTATTTATTAAAAGCACATTGAAATATAAATGTTAGAACTATAATAAATAGCGCCGTTTTCCAGAAATTCCAGGGTAAATAATAAAAATGCGTGAAAACCAAAATTTTTGTCTGTGATTCAATTGTTATTCACCATGAAACCAAATAACATATTTTATTTAGTTCTAAGGATGTTTTTGACATCAAAACATTACTGCAATTACGCTTCTTGTTTATTAAACAGCCAATTATAACAACCCATGCAGTTTCCCAAAATACTGCCATCTGTAAAAAGATTGCCGTCTTAGCTGTTCTGTGTTAAAACAAATTGTATGTAGTCAATATTAGGTTGAAAAAACACAAATCTTAAAAGTGCAAAAAGGTTAAAGGATATAATACACAGGAAATTCATGCTTTAAGGGGAAAGTTTGGAAACGAAACTTTGATATTTCAATATTTATATGTTTTCTTGGTTGCTTATATGGCATGGTGACTAAGGAAGTAAAAGCTATTATAATCTATACACTGTAAATGTTCTTCATGCCTGCCCGAAGTATTTAATCTTATCAAACTACGTAATTGCTCGTAACTAAATTGAGACATGTTGCCATTATATTTACTTACATTTATTTTTGATTTTGAAATTCTACCTATTCGCAATACCAATACTTACACTTCCTGAATAGTTAACATATTAGTACATTGTAATATAAGGATGATTGATTGATTGTTGGTGTTTAACGCAATTTTCAGCTTCTGAAATATTTTGCGGTGATCAGTTTTAGTGGTGGAGGCCCAAGGAACCGCCGACCTTCGGCAGAAAAACTGGAAAATAAATTTGCTAAATAGAAACTGAAATATAAAGGCATTTGAACCACTTTTGTTTCAAATCTAATTGGCCATGGTTTTGCATTAAACTTTCAATGTAGATGTGCCACATACTATTTTCATTTAAGTCATTCAGAAAAACAGAGCGCTATTTTAGTAGATAATCTGTCAAGCATTGATTGAACATTTGCATATTAAAGATAGCACATGTACATTTAGAATATATATATGGTTACAATAAAGTTTTTTATTACAATTGTGAGAAATGAAAATTGTGGTTGAATTTATCCAGTTTTTAATTGATTTATGTCATCTAAACTCAAATATTTAGTTTGCATTAAGCTCTCTGTTGTTGATCTGACAGCGACTTTTGGCGATTTTGTCACTTTATTTTCATATTATTTTCGTTGGGTTTCTAATGGTGCGAAGATCTCACAACAACAATAATTGATATTAGTTGACATGAAAAAAAAACCGTACAAAATAGTATGTATAAGTGTAAAAAACATGGGTTAAAACAATTTAACTAAAATTCAGATATATCACGACTCGCCTGCTCAAATATCGTATGAGGATAACGAAATCAGAGATCTACATTTTAATTAGATTGGGGTTAACTTTATGATATAGCTTAAAATCAAGTTATGGTAAATTTGAAGTGCTTACTATTTTTAACTCTTTTTTAATATGTGTATTATGAAACAAATCCCTTCATGTACAACCTCCATATGTGCACTTTTAAACTTTAAACTTCACTAAAACCTACCAAGTAATGTAAGAGGAATATTGCTCATTACAAAGTTGTTTTAGACTAACTGATGGATATATGAATGGACAGAACAAAGAAAAAGGGACATAGGGATAAGATGATTCCTACATTTCCGCTATATTATATAAAGAGAGAGAGAGAAAAGAACGAGGTTTATGACAATTGTTTTCCATTCGTTTGATGTGTTTGAGCTTTTGGTTTTGTCATTTGATATGGAACATTCAGTTTTGAATTTTCCTCGATCGTTCGGTATTTTTGATGTTTTACTTTTTTTATATCTTGCATCGATATCTGAGTGTTACGTTCTGTTGTCTTTTATTCGCTCAGCTTTGAACCATCTGGTTCTCATTTCTTTGGTTTAAAGAAGGGAAAAAAATAGCAAGGAGGCAGTCTCAAACCATAATCAAAGAAAAATAGACGACAACATGACCAAGGCGAAAAAGTAGGACATTACAAACAACACTCCTTAAAACACTTCACCGAAATGTGAGAACACTACTTAAACCCGATAGTGATTGCAGTTGCCAAAAAAGGGTATCCAATCTTCCACAATATTAATTTTCAGTCATATTTGATAAAACAACTTATAAAGTATATAATAATGGGTTAACATTAAAAGGAATTTGCCCAATTTGCTATTGAAAAGCGCATGGTACAAACAGTAGTCCTTCGAATATTGAACGAAAATAAACTTCGTAGCATGTTTATCGAAATCGGAAAAATAGTTTTTACTAAATATACCTTGTTTGTTCCTTACAGTACTTCCATTACCCTTTTTTTTCAAATATGGTTAATCGTTTTCTGGCGATTTTGACGATATTATCTAGCCAAAAAAAGCAAAATGATCCATATTTGCAGATGGTGTTTTTTTAATTGCAACTGCAAAAGCTTCATGAGAAGGCTCCATCCTGACCTATATCAGGGATGGGCACGATTACTGACAAATGTAATCGATTAATAATCGATTACTTGGAGGATTTTTGTGTATTTGATTAATAATCGATTACTCTGATTTGTGTATGTAATCGATTGCAATCGATTACTTTATGAAAAGTAATTACATTACTTTTCGATTACTGTCAATTACATGCTACAAAATTACAAAAGAATAATAAAGAAAGTTAAAAATAAATATGTTGTTCAACGTATGTATAGTGAACATTTAGAACTTTATAAAAACAGCATTTAAAGCATTGTTTTCAAACTTTAAGTTGACAGTTGTTTTCTAGATGGAAGCTGTTACTGGGGTCCGAAAAATTAAAAGATTCTTGAAATTTTGGTTTTCAACATGAGTGAGTGGTGATAAAGTTCTTGCAATGACATAACATAAATATGGCTTCAGTCACTTCTTTATATTTTAGGTTATTTTCTCCATATTTTGCAATTTTTTACTGTCATACTGACTTAAGTTAGGTATTTTGTATTTACTCATTTTTAACTTTATTTGAATATAGTTCATTACAATGTTGGAATTTCCTCTGAAAAAAATATAAAAATGTAGAATAATTAACTAGTTCAGATAATTTCAAAGATGTAAATTTATAATTAATACATACATGCATTAATCCTTTTTTTTAGATAACATCTCTAATTACAGGTTATAAAACTGCCAATGGAGTACATTTTATAACCTGGGGCAATATAATGTAAATCTCTTCTTAGTTAGACATAAATTAATTGAAATAAAAACAAAGTTGGCATCTCATTGATTAGAAGTCCTTGATCATCTGATTAGTAAAGACAAGAAGTTTGTTGAGAATATTTTATGCTCTATTCAAAATTATAAACAATCTATATTTTTAGTGTCAAAATGGGATACATGTATCTATTTCTAAACAAGAATTTGAATGCATAGCCATTGATACATTGTCAAAAGAATTTTGTGTACTTTCTAATTTTTCATATCATAATATTATGACGAATCAACTGTTTATCTATTCTAGCTAAAATTCCAACTCTTATTGAAAATTACGCTTCAATGTCAATGTAGTACAGAACTTAACATAAGACTCATTTCTTATTTTAATCTATTTTCTTATTTCAAAATAAAAGGTCTTTAAATTATTGACAAGCATTGAAGACGATAAAGCCAATTGTTTCAAAAGCTTGATAAACAGTAAAATTTGGTAGGAGATCTGGTTGATCATAACGAAGTTTGATACAATAGATACAAATAAGGCATTTGATAGACTTTGAAGTGTTATTAATACATTCTATTTTATCTGTACTATAAAGTGATGAATACATACATATTTTCATTTAAAATAATTTTATATTTCATCAAACTGTTTTACTAAAGGAATCGAATGTAATCGAAAAGTAATCGATGATTACATCATAATTTTTGCTGTAATCGATTAAATTACGATTAAAGATTACTGTCGATTACTGGAAAAAATGTAATCAATTACAATCGATTACGATAACAGATTACGATTACCCCATCCCTGACCTATATTATATTAATTGCAGTTTAAAATGATAAACAAATTCCCTTTGCCTATAAACGATAAATCTATTCTATTTCTGACATATAAATTTTCAATCCTCAGGAAACATTGAGCTTAAATTGCAATTTTGTCATTTTTGGAAGTTTTTTCAAGAAATGCAATTTTCTGTTAATATTGAGCAATCAACATTTAAGTTTGCATTGGATTTGGAATTATGTATTTTGTTTTATAAGGTTCAGATAATTTTTAGAAAACAAAATATCATACAAGTACCAGACAAGGGCATTTTGTTTAATTCTAGCAAAATTAACGAATTTTCAAGTTTTACCTTTGACCTTGATTTAACGAAAATTGCACCGTACGAATTATTGACGACCGTGCAAAACAGAAAGTACGGTTGATAAGCTTTCGAATGATATATAACATAGCCGTATGTTAGGTGGGTGTATTAAAGTCGTTAACTAAGCGTCTTTTTTAAAACTGTCACTCGCCTAGAACCCTGAATGCGACTTATCGCCAATTTTGTACGCAATTCCTGTGACAGATGACACCAGCTAAACAACTTACCATAATTGAACAATTGAGTTTTAGTTAGGGTTTATACTTTTCAGTCTTTTTTTTTCTTCTATTTAGTGTTTTGTGGACAAGTGTGTCCATCAATTTTTTTTCGTGGCGTTGTCATTTTCCCGTCGACCGTTGATTTTTGAAGACCCCTTAGAATGGCCCATCTAGTCATCCACTAATTTTCTACGGAAATACATTGTGTTTGTTATTCTGTATTGATGTGTGTCGTACATTCTGTTTTAGTTTACTTTTTACTAGCAAAAAAAAAATGAATACTGTAATTATGATCGTTATTGTTTTCATACCATAGAGCGTCATAATTGTCAAATAAAAAAAATGTATGTGTGTTTTGATACCGCTATAAAGTTCATAAGAGCTTGTGTCGCTTAACTTTGTATTGTTGATCATTTTTTGTTCACCCTTTCTCTCTATCTTCCTCCGTTTTTGTTCAAAGCATAAACAGAGTAAAACAATGTAATGTAAGGGCGACCAATCATGTAAAGAGTGAACTATTGATTTCAGCAAAAGTTTACTTATTTGTAGATCTTGTCATGCTATTAAAGTGGCTATCAATAAATAAAATTTAAGATAAAGAAGCAGAAGACTAACAGAGAGTAAAATACGGATTAAACTGACATTTCTATATGTATTTTTAATTCATGTCTTTCTAACCGTTTTTTGCTTATTTAAGTTTTTATCCATTTATTATAGTTTTATAGCTATTAGGCAAAACAAAATTTATAAAAATCATCATTAAAGAGCAATAAGTTCAAATGGTGTGAAGTGACGCTTTCGGCTTGTAGATTTATTGGTAGTTTTTGTCTTGCCGATCATACTAGCTAATTAAAGATTCTATCAAAGTTTTTCAGTTCTATGCAAAAAGCGCAAAACATATCATACAAATCGTCATTAACGAGTTTATAACTCCAATAAGGAGTCATCTGACGAATCAGACTAATATTAGTTGACAGGCAGTGCCATAAGACACATATATTAAACTAAATACCCTTATGATAGTTGCGACCAAGTCTGGGTGAATTTGGCAAAAGAGTTTCAAAGGAGAAGAATTTCGTAAAGGGTAACAACGATGGACGAAGACAGACAATGTCGCCAAGTGATGAGAATAAATCACTTAGCCTTTTGATCCAAGTGAGCTGATATGATAAAATATTCCTACCGTTTCCAAATCATTCCATATTGTGTTGAAATCATTATCGGATAGTTTGCCATCCTTTGAATGCGAAACAATAAAATTTTTATAGTATTTTATCCGAGCTATGTGAGCACCAGGCGACAAATCACTAGATTGTGGTAATGCTTCAAATCCATACAGTGGTTGAGGGACTATTGGTGGTAAATTCCGAAGAAGACAAACCATTAAAGTAACATCTAGATTAGAAGAAAGTACAGGTGACCCTACAAAAAAGTATGAAAATGAAATACGTTTCTTCACTTTCCTTCACCAACGTTTGATTGGTAACCCAAAAAGCTTCTAATTCACTTTCATTTTTAACCTAAATTTAACTGACTTATTGTGACGTGTATCCGCTAGGATAAAGTCTTCTCTTGGTAATTAGAACAATCAAGAGCACCCAAGGCAAAATGTGACATGTCTGGTTAGTAGGATTTCTAACTTAAACTTTCTTTTGTTTGAGATTGATCTTACAGGATTTTAGATAAAATACATATAGCTTCATTTGTAACGCTTTAAATTAATTTATTTAGTTGACCAATGATAGTGGTCCAAATTTAGATATGTGCTCTTACTGAATTTACGAGTATTTTTATTTAAACATATTGACCTAAAACATGTTTGTTGTATCAAATAATCTAATTCGATAATGACTAAGTAACATTCTTAGATAACTTGTCTTTAACTAAGGAATGCCGTCATTATGAATTTTGGAAGTTATTTGTGATTACTATAATTGTCGAGCGGTCCCATCAAAAGTATTTATTGTTAACTTTGGAGGTTAAGCGGTATTGGTGCCAAAATCGAGAACAATATTTTGCTTATTTTTTCATTTCGGAGATTTTAACCACAGAATGATGAAAATAAATAGGTCTGCCATGTCTACGTATATCTAATGTTTATCTGTCATAAATGTTGTTTACATAGCGTCGCATAGCAGGTAGAATGAAGATATCTGTATAGTATTTCAAGCTCTTCCGGTTATCTTCTTAATACTTTTCACAAGTATCTTTATTGTAAAGGCTTATATATAGTCTTTTTAACCTTAGTTTGAAACTAACAATTGTTAGAAAACAAGGAAATTTTATGATCTCTTGCTATAGAAATTCGTCTAATGTTAAATTTATTCTTATTTTCATTTATCACATTTTATTTTCATTCATATTTGTAATTGAACTTTACCTGAGGAAGGATATAATATATTCCACTGTTCCTGGTACAATACTCTCTTATGTCCTCTAGGTGGTTTATGCAAGCTTGAAAGTATTGATATATTTGCTGGAGATGACAAATCTGATTGCAAATTTGGATGAACTTTGTCAAAATACCTCCTTAGCGCGGTTGTTCCTACTCGGTAGTTTAAGGAAACAACACGGAGAAAATTGTCCTCGTCTTTGGTTACCATGTTTCCCTTGACAAAAGATTAAAATCACATATTTAGAAGCATTTTCCTGTCTTTCCAACACACTGAATTGTTTGGTGTTTTTTTAAGGAAAGTTCAGCATACTATTGTCTTTCGATGATAAACGCTAGTACAAAAAGAAAAAAAAAACATGACAAATAACATCATCATGATCATAAACTCAAAGTTTGTATAACTAATTTTTGAATATGTAGCTTTAGATATTAAATACGGTAACTTTTTCCAATTTCCTAAACAATTCAAATTTATTTTCACTTGTTCACAATATAACCAAACCCGAAAAAAATATCGTGTATACCACTTCAACGTCAGTTATACATCTAAATCTTTTGTTTTAAATGAATCATTGTGTTTTTGTACGTATCGTTTTGTTTTTCGAACATACATTGTATCTTAAACACTGGAGAAGAAGCATTTCTAAAAGAAAATATGCTCATACAAGAAAGCAAATTCCTTAATTCATTTTTTTTGACCTCTCACTTTTATAAAGTATTCTGATTTCGAATTTGACTGTTATGAGAATAAGCATTGTATTCCCCTTTTCTTTGTCTAATTCTCAGTAAAGTTAACACATAAAATGGAAATCATACTTTATAATTTTGATATTCTGCATTTAGTTAAACCAGGAACGATAAAATAGAAAAATATGAAAGCCAAAGATTCATCAATAGCCACAAATTGAATAAGCAGGTATATGCAGACAGTTTTTTAATCATGGTTCTTAAATGCGACGAGTGCGTGGCACTCTCCTTACATAAGACATCGGAACAAAAGGACGTGGCTGCGTATTTCTAATATCTCAAAGCTATGTGGACAGCAAACCTAGTAATATCTATTTTTTCTTAAAATTCTTTTGAATGACAGATTAAGGTTTCTTGTGGACGGAATTTCCATTGCTTAAGATTCCAAATTTGTTTTTTTTTATCCTTCTACGAACAAATTTTGGCTTTAGAAAAATTTTCTCATCTGTCTGTGATGGTTTTATTATTGATAATGCTAAGATGCAAGCAAATTTAAGTCAAAGAGAAATATCATTTATCATTCCTCAGATACTGCGTCATGTTCATTTACAAATGACTACACAAACATTAGGTGACATTGACATTAATATTTTTGTCTGGGTTTGGTCTTAAGGTTCAGATCGAATCAAGTTCTAGACATATACAATCCAAACTTTTCTGATTGGGTTCCATTAATATACCCCCCAGAACTATAAATTAAAGAAACAACAGACACGGCTTCCTCCGCCTCGTTTTTAGACTTATATCTCGAATTTGACATAAACGGTCATCTCAGTACCAGAATCTATGACAAACGAGACGATTTTAATTTTGAAAGTATCAATTTCCCCCACCTTAGTAGCAATATTCCAACTTCACCTGCATATACATTTCCCACCTTATTCGGTATTCAAGAGCTTGCAGCAACTACTCAGACTTTGTAAAACGTCACCAGTGTCTTAGCAGGAAGTTGATGAACCAGGGGTATGTCAAAGAACGTCTCGTCCTTTTTCTAAAATAGTTCATCCGAAGGTTCCAAGACCTTGGTGATAATTAATCCGAATCAACTTACAAATAACAATCGGAATACTTACTCAAACATTTTTTAACGACTTCATATTTCTTTTCATCACTGGATGATTTATCTGTGTCAGCTATCACAGTGGGATGTTTTGTTCAAAGTCTACAATGATAGCTTGACTTATCTTTTTTTTATTTTTAGTAACTGACAATGTAAATACATTATGAGGGCATTTGTACATGTTATTGAGTTTAAAAACAAACGGGTTATCTGAGGTTTGTTGTTTACAATACATTAATGCGATTATCTTGAAACTGAATTTTTGAAATAGTAAGGCTTTTCTACCCCAGGAATAGATTACCTAAGCTGTATCTGGCAACACTTTTAGGAATATTTGGTCCTCAATGCTCTTCAACTTCGTACTTAAATTTGCCTTTTTAACTTTCATTTATTCGAGCGTCACTGACGAGTCTTTTGTAGATTAAACGCGCGTCTCGCGCAAATACAAAATTTCAATCTTGGTTTCTATAATGAGTTTATTTACTAAATCGAATTATGATTAAGTCAAGTAAAAAGAGTTTATATATATATATATTAGGATTCAAACATAAAAGTGAAAAAGTGAAACACAAAGTAAATTAATGTTTCACACCTGTACTACTTTAAGTCACTCAAAAGTTACTTTTAAACAATTTAACAATCAGTGATAATTCTCTAATCAATTCATTCTTGCCAATGGTCGTATAAAAATTACAAATGATATCGAGGAACTCGGTTTTGAAAAGGACCTATATATCATGGAAGTAAACATATATTGAAATGCTTCCACCTCTCAGAACTGATGAAATAGATATTTAAGTTGTTAATGTCTAAAATGCATGCTACCTGAAAATTATTGTTTATTTGCGTGATACAATATGTCTTAAGTTATTATTCCTGTGTAATATTCCAAAAGATAAAACATATTCCATTGTTGTAAATTTCCTTATTAGTTTTAACATTTATCAAACCCAAGTGACACATTATAAGAGTACCTGTCATGGCGTTTTGTTTTATCAAAACAATGTCAATGTAAACAAATATCGATAGGTAAATACTACCGTACAAATATGTCATCATATGATACCTTTACAAGTAATGTTTAACCTTATATTTGTTAACTTTGTTATAATTTTATCAGGTATATTTACTTCATAAATCAGTAATCTTGTTTATACAGCGCGAGGTTTATTGCACTAGTGCTATTTATGGTGTCCGTCATGTTGCTTGTGACTTTGAAAAGAGGACACTCTTAGGTTTCGTTGTTAACATACTTAAAACGATGTATTTTGAATAGAGGGACAAAGAAATAAAACCTATTTTGTGCTTTTACAGTTACGATATTAAATTTTTCCTGTTCAATATTTTTTTCTACTTTTTCACTTAATCATGTTTATGAGACGGAGTTCAAGATAACCAAATATATTATTTATGTTTCGACAATCACATCATGTACAAGTAGAAAAGCGTTTTTATATAAAAAAAAAATAAAAATTTTACTTTACGTGGTATTCACATATCAATTTTTTACTTTAAAAAAATATAAGTAATCACAAACTGAACAATCGACAATTATATTTGATTTAATAAAATGTAACAGTAAAGTAAAAACTGATTGGAATTTAGAATACTAGTAAATATCTCGCATTAGATTCTTAAAACAAGAATCTAACGACATGAAATAATCTTGTTACGTCTGTTTTTTAAACGGAACGAACAACTGTCCCAAGTTTTGTTGAAGGATGGGCGTTCACAAGCATGTTTTATCAAAATATAAAAACTTGTAGTATGAGGAATTCAAAATTATTGTATTATGCATTTTCATTGTATTCATATATTACTTTAACATTACAAAAATCAAAGTAATTCACAATCTGAACGATCGACAATTATATTTGATTTAATAAAATGTAACAATAAATCAAGAACTTATTTGAAATCAGTAGTTAATATTTCGCATTTCATTCTTAAATCAAGACATTGACGGCATGAATTATTCTTGTTACGTCTGTTGTTTGAATAGAACGAACAACTGTCCCACGTTATTGAGTGGGATGAACGTTCACAAACATGTTTTACCTTGACACATTCTTTATTAGGCAGCTCCAAATTATTAAGGAGCATGTAATTTAGTGGTTGTAGTCTGTTTCTGTTTGGCATATATGGCATGACGGCATGAATTATTCCTGTTTTTGACAGAACGAACATCTGTCCCAAGTTATGGAGAAAGATGGGCGTTCACAAACATGTGTTACCCCGACACATCCCTTATGTGACAGTTCCATATAAGGATCCTGTAATTCAGTGGTTGTGGTCTTCTTCTGTCTGCCATATATGCTTTTGGTTAATTGGTCTGCTGTCAGTCAAATAATTTTGTCATGTCAGGTCCTTTCATGGATGTATCTACAATATTAGTTTTGCTCATTGTTTAAGGCCGTTTAGTGACCTATAAATACTAACATATTCGTCATTTGAACCCTGGTGGATTGTTGTTTTATTGGCAACCATACCATATCTTTTTATTTGTATTATAGGATTAATATCATGTTAGATATGATATTAAATCAGTTGTTTCTATATTTCTTTTGATATGATCTGATTATAAAGAATATCGATCGCGATTGATTGACGTTCTACAAAAATTGAGACAAGGGACTAAATTGACTGGTATTTTGAATATTTAAACGTACATCATTTCTTATGTTACTGACGATAACGAAACATAAATGTGTCTTGAAAAGATTCGTCTTTCCTAATGTACCACTAACAATCCTAAAACTACTTTGATTACTTTTTCTACAATTAGAAAATGTTTGACAATAAATATGATTTAAAAATTACTTGACTTAAGCATGTTAAGTCGTTCATCAAACATAATGTCGTTGAAAGCAGGACACATTTAGTTTTTCATTGATAACATATCTAAAAGGATGAATTTTGAATAGAGGGTAAACAAATATAACTGATTTTGTGTTTTTACAGTTACGATAGTAAATTCTTCCTGTTCAATATTTTTCTACCTTCTTCACTAAACCAGACAGGGGTTAAAAAACCGAAAATAGCATTTATTTTTCGACAATCACAACATTTGCAAGAAGAAAAGCGTTGTGAATATATCAAATAATAAAAAACTTTCCATATGAAGAATTCAAAACGATTGTATTATGCCTGATCTTCACATATCACTTTTACATACAAAAAAGATCAAAGTAATTCACAATCTGAACAATCGACAATTACATTTGATTTAATAAAATATAATAATAAAGTAAAAACCGATGTGAAATCTGAAGTTAAAATCTCACATTTCATTCTAAAATCAAAACAATGACGTCATGAAATATTCTTGTTACGTCTGCTGTTTGAATAGAACGAACAACTGTCCCACGTTATTGAAAGGGATGAACGTTCACAAACTTGTTTTACCTTGACACATTCTTTATGTGGCAGCTCCAAATTATTAAGGAGCATGTATTTTAGTGGTTGTGGTCTAGATCTGTTTCTGTTTGCCATATATGCTTTTGTTTATTTG